TTTGCTACAGTTAGTGTGATCACGTGATGATATATGGTGTGTATATAGCAAGTAGTAATACCAACTAGGATAAGACACACTCAATCGCGCGTTATGAATGTAATGTGCGCGCGAAAACACGCGTCCTGTCAATCACTGGAAGTGCTGTTAAAAAATTTAGAAGAGAACGTTCTTCCTCATTTAGCTGATTGATTGGTTGTTTAAATGTCAACAGAGGAACCACAAATAGAGTTACCTGCGTTTTACCAGGCATGCGAGACCGTTCCTGGTCCAATGACAGTCAAAGAGACAAACCGCGATCTGATCGATCCTGAGGCTTGGACTGCACAGTGGTTTCTTACCCTTCTTGTTGGATTTAAAGTTAAATATCGATATTCATCTACAACAAGATATGACTACGTGGTAAGTTTTCAAAATTTATAAGTTTGATATCGTAACCATAAGTTCTCCGGCTGTAATAATGTCATACAAATTTGCCCGGATATAGTAGCTCCTGGCGGAAACTCCCAATAGCACTTGCACGGTCGTTCGCAATATAGCACACACAATACACAAAATCATCCCTTCTTTATAGACTAGTGGTATATGGAACGAAACATTCACATGGACCGAGCCCAGCCCATATGCAAATGGTGAAAACTTCGAAGTGTTCGTGGAAAATCGCTACGGATTTGCAACAGCACTGGCACAAATTGATGTCTTTAAGAAAGAAGGTGTGAAATACTATATAAATGTCAGAATAAACTCAACATTTTTTTACAATATTTCAACTTTCAGTTCATTTTTTTTATCACGGCGAATATCATTTTCATTCATGCATTAGAAACTCCCGCTATCATGTGGATTACTCCCTCGCCTTTTGAAGCTATAGAGGGAATCAACCAAATACTAGAAGTCAAGATAACAAATGAAAAACAGCTGCAGTCGGTCAAATGGTATCACGATGATAGACCAATAGAATCAGCCACCGATCGGTATGGTCTTCCAGGTATAGCAACTGATATTAAGTAATAAAAGCAGTTGGGCTTTGACTTTTATTCATGCAAGCAGTTTAACACCAAAGGTGCGCAAGATAAATAATCTTAASCGTTTCTTGTTTGCTATCAGAATCATCAGCGGGAGTACACAAGAAGCTGAAACTAATAAAAATCGACGATAAAACAAAGGGCAAATATAAAGTAATAGTAGAAGGAAAAGCTTGTAGTTTTGAAAGAACAATCGTTGTTAAAGTCATAGGTAAGTTCGCAATGAGCGCTATCCCGTACTGTTAACATCATTATAGCGGTAAATATCTGATTTATTCAATAGTAATTCCAAGAGTTTACTTCAACCCACGTGAAGACTTTATCATCGCTAAAGATACAGATAAAGAAGTTCTATTTAATGCAACTGTGAAAGGAGGAAACCCCAAACCAAAGGTAATGAACGAGTGAAAACTGGTATCTCTAAACATAGTTAGTAGAAGGAGGCTAACTAACTATGCTCTAAACAATTCTTGATACTAACATATCCTGCTCATTTCTAAATGATTAAAATCAAATTGTATTACGGTTTTCCACATAACTATTTTCAGATTCAACAAATGTCATGGAAAAAAGGTTCAAAAACTCTAATATCTTCGTATGGTGGAAGAATTGCGCTCTATTCCACACTAGACGAGKATTTGAACTGGTTTAGTGTACTGAAAATAAGACAACTGCGTCCTACAGATTCTGGAGAGTATAGTTTTGAGCTTGTAACAGGACCTGCACTTACCAAAAAGACCTGGAGACTGAGTGTCCGCTCAAGTAGGTTATATACCCAAAGAACTAAGTTCATTTATTTMTTTGCTCATTTCATTCGTTCATCCTTCCATTCATTTRTCTTTTGATMAATCTTMTGTCTCGTAAGCTCTTTGTACTGATTTCTTTTGTTAACATTTTCAGCAAAATCTGACATGCCGACACAGAATACGACAATTGCTGCAACAGCCCCTCAATCTGCTGCCTCTATACCTAAAAGCCATTTCCTTATTTCTAGGATTCTGAATTTCATACCAGTGGTATATTATTTTGTCATGAATATTTGAAAGGACACAATTAAACTTTAATTTAAAAYAACGTCCCCAAAAATTATTTTTTCTTTATCTTTTTAACGGTAAAACTTTATTTTCTTTTTAAAAAATGCGAAGTTATCCTCCATCTTTTAAATGCTTAGAGTATAATACGAATGCAATCCGAATGCTAAATTTTCGCTGCAATGATATAATATTCAGAATAAATGATGTGAAAAGATTATACACAAAATCTCTTAAATCCCAAGTCTTACATAGTGAATCAAGACACTGATTAAAAATAAATTTCGGCTATATACAAAACATTTTAGACTAATGTAACATGGACACACCATGTTCTGCAAGGTGATTCTTGTTTGATATTTTCTTTTGATATTTTAAATTAAAATTCAAGACATTTCTTTAGGTTATTAGAATTCAAATTAACAATTTGAATAAAAAGTAAAAATAGTGATGTGTATCTAGGAGCCTGACCTGATAACAAAATATGCCCCATCAAATAAATTGATGTGACAATGTTTTAGTACATCAAAGGTAATTTGTCTCCCATCTGTCCAATGTGTTCTCACTGGTGTAAGGCAATTTTTAAATTGTCATTAAAATGTCTATTATTATGTTTCAATATTATTTTTATGTAAAAACAATACATGTATATACTATTTATTTTTGTAAATAAGTACTTATATTCTTATTTTTTCAGTATATGTGACAGCATTTTAAATTAATTTTCACCAAAGTGATTTAAATTATAGTAAGCACCCCATGGAATTATCAACCCAGCTGCTAATTTAAATAAATATTWTACCATTCTGTTACTTCCAAAACAACAAATCCCAAAGCCCAAGYTTTTAATGTGGATTCAAGGCCATATCCACAAGTTTCAGAATGSTCTGGTTTTATGCAAATTGGTCTAGGTGWCCAGAATAACACTTCCTCGTTTCATGTGTGACTTCACAAGGAAAAGYTGGTATTCCAGTGACTATTGACTATGAGAATTAAAAGTCACTATCACTTCTTTACATTATGACTATTTCATCTTCATCGTCACTCTCCATCAACGGCCTTTCAAAATTCTCTTTCCTCCTGTTAGTAAAATAAATTTTTCCTAGGTTATCATTGTCTTTACAGCATCTTCTTGATATGAGGTAGAGAATAGCCACAGAGAATAACCCTACTGTAGTACAAGCAATAGCTATTACCATGTTCTTATGAGACTTGATAGTATCAACTATCCAATTTGACGACTTTAGAATGTGGCTTATTCTATTCAAATCACCATCGTTCTTMGCAGGAGTAATACCCAATATATGACACATCAAGGTATATATGTCAACTTCATAAATTGGGCCTGACCTATAGCCTTTTTTAAATGCTGGACCATATGCAATAAAATATTGGTGCATTTCAGGAACTAATGGACTATATGAATGGACTCCATAATTATGATTTTTAAGATAGTTTGTCATATAGTGRGTTGAACTATTTATGAGYAAGTGTGGCTTCATCACAACTAATATATCRGCTATACGTCTATTGTGACGGAAGTGAAGATACTCTGGAATTTCARCTTTCTTGTATACGTTGAAGGCTCCTGTGATGTTTTCTGCTATCTTGCATGTGTGGTACAGCTTTTCAAGTGTAGATTTACTTGAGTTAGTGATTTGCAAGTMGAGAGCGCTTTTGCCCCATGAAATGTAGGATTCAGGGTTGATATACTGGTCTATACCTATGAACATACTAGTGTTGAAGTTWATCATTCCATGGTCGGCAGTGAATATGATATTTATTCTTTCAAAGGAATCCAACTGCTTTAACTGTTCAATCAGATAAACTGTGTTGTTATCCAATTTCTTCAAAACATTTCTTACTTGAATGGAGTCTACTCCAAACTTGTGTCCTTCTTCATCTGGTTCGTTAAAGTATAAAAGAACCATTGAKGGTGGATCTGAGCCATTCAGCCARTTGATAGCCATATCAATACGATCTTTCSATGGCATTATGTTTTCTGCATCAACAAAGGGTCTTCCATAAGTAGAGTTGGGTCGATAGGTAGGTTGACGTCCTTTGATGACCGCATCATAGCCTGGCCAAAAACCCACACCTGARTTCATATTTTGTTTCTCGCTTGTCACCCAGATTGGTTCACCCCACTGCCACCACCTTGAGTCATTCGTTTTCATTGAAAATGTATCATTAAACACAGGGTCATACATGTTATTCCCAACGATACCATGATGTTCTGGATACAATCCTGTTACCAAAGAGTAATGATTTGGAAACGTTTCAGTTGGAAAGACATTTTGCACAAAATCAGCTCGCACACCTTCACTTGCAAMCTTTCTRAGTGTAGGAACAGCGTCTTTGTACTTGTCTAGATAATCGTAGCGGAATCCATCGTAAGAAATCATGATAACYATTGGACTTCCTGKCGAACTAAATGCAACACGAAAGGTTGCGCTTAGGAAGYTAATAGCCACWACAAATACAAATCTTCTCCATATGTACGACATAGCTTTACCAATATAAATATTCAATTAAATATCAATTTCTTTATAATAAACATTCGTCGCCTTCGATTCTATCATGCAGACAAAGAGAACTTTGAACGA